GCGAATCCAAAACCTGCAGGGTAGACCAGCAGGCTGCAGACCCAGGCACGAGGTGACTTTGCGGCTCGAGTGGCAAGGCCATCGGAAGGGAGGAATCCCTCTTCCTCCAGGGACTGTGGCCTTTTTCTCCCTCGAGGCCTTCGACTGATTGGATGAGGCCCACCCAGGCCACGGAGGGCAGTCGCTTTGCTCCGAGCGTACGGATGTACATGTTAAGCTCGTGTAAGGAAAGGCGTCCAGCCCCACGGCAAGCTCTGGACTCGCGTGCGAGCAAATATGTGGTTTCGTGGCCCCGACGTCACCACATAGAATTAAGAGGAGGAAGCAGACGCGTTTCCGTGCACAGAGGGACGTATCCCGTGGCTCATGGCCGCCGCCTGGAAGCCGAGACCCGACTCGGGTGCTGAGGTCCTTTGGGAGCCTCGCCGCTGCCTCTGGGGAGGAACAGCCAGAACAAGGGAACCGCCGGGCAGAAGCCCAGCCTAGGACCAGGGAGGACGCCGTGTTCAGGAGCCACCCCAGGACCTGGCGATCACGCCGGGCTGTCTCCAGTCAGGGGACACGGAGCGTTTCGAGGGGCCCCGGACAGCGCCTCGCATGGCAGCAGCAGCCTGGCCGGACGCCTGCTGTGTACGTGTTGTGTTCCCAAAGGGACCAGGGTATAATTCGCTCTCCTCGCAAGCGCATGTGAGCACCTGGGATGCGCGTGGGCAGGTGACGGAGAAGCAGACGGGTCCACGGGACAGCGGACGGCGAGCTGTTCAGCACCAAAAGGAAACCAACCGTCCAGCCCCGGGGACGCGGAGGAAGGTGCTACGTGGTCACACGGTGAGTGACGCTCGTCTTGAAAGGCCACACGCTGCGTGACCCCAACTCCAGGACGTTCGCCAAAAGGCAGAACTATGCCGACGGTGACAAGGTCCCCGGCCGCCAGCACAGGACGTCCCCGGCGCCGAGATGGCTCCATGGGACACCCTCACGCAGCACACGTCACCCCACGTCTGTGCAAACGCACACGCCACACGGCACCAAGCGCGGACGCTAAGGCCAGCGGTGGCCTCTGCGTGACGGTGACGTGTCGCTGCGTGTTCATCAGCGGGAACACATGTCCCATGCGCTGGGCGGTGTCTGCTGCTGCCACAGGGCAGGCGGTGCGGCTGGCGGCAGCGATGGACAGGGCCTCTCTGTGAACCTAAAACTGTGCTAAAAAATAAAGTCTGTTAAAAAAAAAAAAATTACGCTAAACGTGCAGGTCAGGAGAGGCCGACTCCGAGGAAGCAGCGGCCTGGGGGGGGCCCTGGGGAGGACAGAGCTGCCCGGGGGAAGGACGCAGCCCCGCGTGGACGGCAGGGGCCACCGCCCTGCACGCCGGCCACCACCGCTCCGATACTGTCCTTTCGTATCTGCACGTAGGTGCCACCCCCGCTGGGCGCCGGGAGCAGATGTGGGGTGCGGGCATTTTGCAGAGGACCCACACTGCCTCTGAGCACGCGAGGGAAGCCGAGGGGCTGACGGGGAGCCCAGCCGGACGCCACGGCCCTGCGCATGCAGCCCCGGCCACGTGCAGGCGGACGCGGTGCTCTGCCCGCCCCCTCGGCCGACAGACGGTTGGTTACCTGTGCGGGTCACCTTGGCGGGGCTAGAGGCTGTACAGGGAGCGACTCACACACGATTTCCAGGTGGGGGTGCGAGGCTCCTTCCAGACGAGATGAGCATTTGCATCGGCGGACTGAGTAAAACAGACGGCCCGCCCCAGTGTGCTTGGTGGGCCGCATCTCATCAGTTGAAGGCCCCACCTCGAACACAAAGGTGGACGGAGCATCCGCTCTCTCTGCCTCGGCTGGGACGTCACCTTCTCCTGCCCTCAGATGCCAGTGTCCCTAGATCTCGGACCTGCGAACTCAAGCTGAATCACACCAGCGGCTTTCCTAGCATGCAGCTGCCAGACGGCAGACCGTGGGACTCCTCAGCCCCCCTAACGGTGAGTGGATTCCAACCTCTATATTTGCCTTTATCCAGATACACACACCGGTATCTCTGTACCAGGGTTCTCCAGAGACATAGAAGCGACCGTGTCTATGCATGGGCGAAGGTACGGATAGACAGACAGACAGATAGATGAGAAAGAGAGAGACAGACTGACAGATTCAGACAGAGAGACAGATAATGGATGGACGGACAGATGGACATCTAGATGATGGATGGATGGATGGATGGTGGATGGATAGATAGATAATA